TGAAGGGTCGAAAGCGGAAGATGCTTCCGAGGCGTTTCCGTGACAGCCGGCGGCTTGAAGCGAAGACAGGGCGTGCTCGACGCCGCTTCACAGACTTATTTTACGGGTTCCGAAAGCAACGTTAGACATTCTGGGGGCGTACGCGGAGGACCTCTTTCGGGCGATTTTTGGTCTCGAATTAGATTGTGGAAAGCTGTGGCGGAGGAAATCACTCGGAACAGGTGTCTATACACCCGTGGGAGGTGAGAGAACGGCTTCGTGCGCACCAGTCTGAAGACCCGTGGCCAGAGGACCCGTGGGAGGTGAGAGAACGGCTTCTTGTGACCCGTGGGAGGTGAGAGAACAGCTTTTTCACAGACTTATATTACGGGTTCCGAAAGCAACGTTAACGGGTCGAAAGCGGAAGGAAGGGCGTGCTTGACGCTGCTTCACAGACTTGTTGTACGGGTTCCGAAAGCAACGTTAGACATTCTGGGGGCGTACGCGGAGGACCTCTTTCGGGCGATTTTTGGTCTCGAATTAGATTGTGGAAAGCTGTGGCTCCGTGTCCGTGGCTGAAAAGTGTCGTGTACCGTGGCTCCGTGTCTTTATCCAAGGCAAGCCGCTCTATTTTTTGAAGTCTGATCTAGATCTTGCTCAGGGAGCAGTGGTGAGGCTGATCTAAGGGATTCGTTGGATGGACAAGGATGTTTGTCCTTGATTTTGAAGCTGGTTAGGCAGCTTGCGCCCTTTTACCAACAAGCTCCACACTGAAATTTTTCAAACACTGCTGAATGTCCAATACAATGATTCCTGTGTGATGGTGTGGCCGAGTCCAGCTTAGGATGATGGACTTTGAGCGAACGCGCTGAAAAGAGCTTGGCACAGCTTGCAACACTGACAGTACAATCACCATCAACCACCTGTACATGACATGCTAAGACCCAAATGTTTTTAACTCACACCTCAATGGGGGGAAATCTCCTTTTATATATAGAAAAAAAGTGAATTGATCTATCGCGTTGCGTATAGGCGGACTTCTGTCCTGTTTTCCAGCTTCACGGCTGAAATATAGATCCCCGGGGTCGGCGGCAGGGGGCGGAGCCCTTACAATCCGGGCGCCGGCCACGGGCCCGTGTCCTTGCCGGAGGCCTTCGGTTGGTAACCGAAGGTTATATACGCTCGCGCCCCCTGCCGCCGACCCTTTTGTTGGACCTCGCGTATACCCCCGCCCGACCCCCGCCCGAATCCGCCCGACAGATTTATATGTATCTTGCGCTGGATGTTCGAAAAATGTTCAAAAACATCGTTTTTTACAGTGTTTCGTGGCCTTCGGCGTCCACGACAGGGTGCCCGTGGTGTCGGTTACGCGTGCCGCGCGGACAGGCTTAATCGACATTTCGTGGGTGTTGGGCACATGAGTTGCCTTACATATCCCTAACATAGGCCCAAGATAGCCAACATATCCCCAACATATGTCCAACATAGCCTCTACAGTGTTTCGTGGCCTTCGGCGTCCACGACAGGGTGCCCGTGGTGTCGGTTACGCGTGCCGCGCGGACAGGCTTAATCGACATTTCGTGGGTGTTGGGCACATGAGTTGCCTTACATATCCCTAACATAGGCCCAAGATAGCCAACATATCCCCAACATATGTCCAACATAGCCTCCAAGATGGCTCAACATAGGGCCAACATAGGCCAACATGGGGCCAACATACGCCAACATAGGCCCAACCTAGGCCAACATAGGCCTAACATAGGCCGACCTAGGCCCAACATAGGCTCAACATGGGCCCAAGATGCGCCCAACATAGACCACATGGGCTCAACTTGGCCCAACCTAGGGCCAAGATGCGCACCAGATAGCTTAACTTTGCTCAATAGGAGAGGGAAAGAGAGAGAGTGAGAGAGAGGGAGAGGGAAAGCGAAAGCGAGAGAGAGGGAGAGAGAGAGAGGCAAAGACAGCGAAGACGGAGACAGAGAAGACCGAGACAGAGACAGAAAAGACAGAGACAGAGACTGACAGAGAAAGAGACAGAGACAGAGACAGAGACAGGGACAGAGACAGAGACAGAGACCGACAGCGAGAGAGAGAGAGAGAGGGAGAGGGAGAGGGAGAGAGGATCCAGTGCGCGGACTCTAACCCAAATTGGCCGGCGCCCGGCTGTCAGGCGTAAGCCTCATAATTTTATATAAAAACTGAGAATGCGACTGCCTGCTTCCGCCCACCTTTGCTTGCGCTCCTGGGCACTGCCGAGCCATGAAACCCGAGGGCACACCACGCAAGAGTTCCCAAAAAGCAAGCAGAATGAATGTGAAATGTGCACACTTTCTGGGCGGTACATTCTGGTGTATCCGGAGTGTGGACTCTAGACTGCCGAGGATCTTCGGACTTGTCTGAGACTTCGCTGCTTGCAGGCTGGACGACTCATCAACAACCTCAACGCAATGTCCGTTGCCACACTGATCAGGAATGTTCAATGATGGAGACTCGATGCGCAAAAACAAACAAAAATTACATGGGCATAGACCGCAGCAGCGCCAGCACCCAACCAGCACCGCCGTTTCAAAAGTGCACCCAGTGAGAGCACCTGCACCCGTACCAGCACCCAGCACGGGCACAAGCACCGACACCCTGTCTCGACAGCGCGCGCACAGCTGACAGCACCAGCAGCAGCACCAGCACCCAACCAGGACTCCCCGTCTCTCAAAAGTACGCACGCCAGCTTGCAGCACCGGCGCCAGCACCCAGCACCTGCGACACCATGTTTCGACAGCGTGCACAGCCAGCGACACCTTGTCGCGACAGCATGCACAGCCAGTTCACAGCACCAGCACCGATGCCAGCTCTCGAAAGTGAGCTCTTATTTTTTGAAGTAAGAACCCGTCGCCGTCGCTGTCTGGGGAAAGACAATTCCGCAAGAAAGAAAATTACTCTAGCATAGACCCCCAGACAGCAAAAAGACTTTGTGGCAGCGCAGCAGCGCAATACAGAGGCACAGCTAGCAGCTGCAAGGTGCCGCCACCTTGCAGCTGCTAGCTCGCAAGCAGCACCCGAGCTCCCAAGCGCACACAGCAGCGCCACCCTGCAGAACCCAAGCCCCCAAGAGCACACAGCAGCGGTACTCTCCAGCGGAACCGGCGCCCAAGCTGCCACGGGCACACAGCAGCGGCACGACGCCAGCACCAAAGTTCCCAAGCGCAGCAGGGGCACCCCAAGCGCACACACCAGCGCCAACCCGCAGCGCCAGCAGCTGTGCTCCCACGCGCACACAGTGCCACAAGCATCCAAGCGCTCAAACGGCACCACCCAAGCTCCCAAGCGCGGCCACCACCCAAGCTCCCAAGCGCACACAGAAGCACCCTGCAGCGCTCCGAAGCGCACACAGCAGCGGCACCCTGCAGCAGCACCATTCAGATTCAACGCTGGCCCCACCCTGCAGCGGTGCCAGCTCCCAACTCCAAAGTGCAGCAGCACCAACACCCAAGCACGGCCTTAGATCCACCCACACCAACACCCAAGAACGCACACAGGCTCCTCTTGGGGAGGCATGGCACCAGCACCCACACTACCATTGGAATCATTGCACTCAAGCTGTCGCGCCTTTTTCATTTGCATTTCACAGCGTTCTGAAAACCTCACATGGACCCAAAGAAGTGCGCACACGATACTAAAGGCAACCGGACACAGCAGCGGCACCCTTCAGCGGCCAAACTCCCACCCAGCCACACACAGCAGTGACGCGCAGCAGCGGCACTCAGCAGCGGCAAGCCCAAAGCGCACACAGCAGCAGCCAGCACCCAAGCTCCTAAGTGTACACACCACCAGCACCCTGCACCGGCACCAGCACCCAAGGCTGAAGCGCACACAGCAGCGGCACCCTGTAGCGGCACCAGCATCCAAGCTCCCAAGTGCACACAGCAGGGGCACCCTGCAGCGGCACCAGCATCCAAGCTCCCAAGTGCACACAGCAGGGGCACCCTGCAGCGGCACCAGCGCCCAAGCCCCAAAGCGCACACTGCCACGCAACTGGCAGCGGCACCCTGCGCCGCACCAGCAAGCACCTCTTCCTATTCTTGATGTAAGAACCCCAGTAGATCTCGCTATCTGCGGAATTAAGCTTCCCACGTAATTCCGCTGTACTCGAAGTGAAAGCCTCCCCCACATTGCTGTGGTTCTTTTCCCGTGGCTCCTGAGCCTTGTTGCCAACGTGATCTGAAGATCTTCAACCCATGCTCTGCAAACAAGTCAAACGAGCAGCCGAGTACTGAATAGAAAGCATTCCCAAGTGCATAGGCACTGACAAATTGGCATGACTTTATTTGAGTCTGGGACAATATTCAGCTCTTGCCAGGGTGGAGAACCAAACCAAATGCCAATGACCGTGTTCTTCAACGCTTTGTATATTGTTTTAACCATCCACCACCCCAGAAATTTGTCGGTGAAACAAAAGCAGATCCCCTAGCCACCATTTTTGGTGGCATGAGACCCGGTGAAATGACTTTCTCTGGCTGCAAGTTCAACTCCTGTAGTATTCTTCAAAGATAGGAAGGGTGAAGTGAAAATGAATTGAAGCCTCACAAAATCACTAAGAAATGTGTGAGTGCGTAGGTGTGTGTGTGGGTGTGGGTGTGGGTGTGTGTGTGTGGGTGTGTAGAATAGATTATTATGTAGACTCGTAGCACCTCTTAATGTACGGCCTAGCATGTCAAGGATGCGTGCCTCACAGAACATTCAGCTGAGCACCTCTCTCTCAGGACGCATTGGGCAATATCGAGAAAAAGTATTGACCTCAGTGTCTTGCTGACACCCAGAAATCTTCTACGAGGCGACGAATCGTGTTTCCACAAAGGCACAAAGGTTGCCCCAGAAGCACCCTTTATGGCATGATCAAGTGTTGGGCTCTCCTAGAACAATCGTTGATTCACTGAGGGGCAAGCATTCGAGAACTCCATCCTGCGCAAGCAAGGAATTGAAACCTGAATCTTATAAGCACAGCTCCAAAATACAGCTCGTTCCATCCTTGATCAGCAGTGCGTATCAACAAGAAATCGATCGCAAACCAAAAATTGCAAAGCCCTTCTAGCACATTCAATGTAGCGGGATAGCTCTCTTGTCCAGCGATCACAGTTTTCTCATGCACCGACCCTCGTTTTTGATCACGCAGCACGTTCAACTCACCTCTCTTCACGGCATCAGCACCTCGTCGTAGGGTGAGGGTTCCGCCCTGCACTTTGGGGCCTCTACCCTCCACGCTGCAGTCTACACCACCGACCAGCCAGAGAGCAGCACGTGGGAAGTCGCTTTGGCTCAGCTTGGGGCTGGTCAGCCTGTAACCTGACCACTTCACGCAAGGGGAGCAACCGACGGCAATCGAAAAGAATCTAACCTTTGGACTATTTATGGCATCAAATTGCAAGGCAATGCCAGGTTGTTGTTGGTCTCAATTGGTTTCAATAGGCAGCTATTGCACTTTCAAGCCAGGAGGCCCACACACGTTTCACCTTCTCTCCAACTTGTCAGCTTCAGCCAAGAGCCACCTGCAGCTAGAGAGCATGGGATGGCTATTCTTCTGTCGTTGAGTCATATCCTATCAATCCTTCTTCCGAAACTGAAATGCATGAATCCAATGCCCACCTCACCGCAGCCTCCAGGCCCTGTCCCTGTAAGGCACAGCAGGGATGCACATGGAAGGCCCTGGCCGTGTGCACACATCCCACACAAACCCAAGAAAACAAACAACTTCAACGCGAAGGATTCTGCCGCTGATGTACGACGCAAGGGACATCATGTGGCTTTGGGGGGCTGGAACGAATTGCACCTGTCACCAAAGACCTGCTCGAACTCGAAAAACCGAGATAACTCCTGAACTCCCAGCGGCTTTGAGGCACAAATCTAAAACATGCCATGCAAGTGGCTCACAAACCTTTGAGCGTGGACAAACTGAACAAAAGTTGTGGATTGAAACAGACTGAAGACTGAACACAAAAAAATGCCTTTCATAACCCTCAGTTCAAGCTAGGACAAGCACAGCTGAATACACGGGCATCTCCTGCACACTGATCGCTTCTGGTTTGTCCTGCTTGTTGGCCAAACACAGTAGAGGCACCTCAGCAATCTCGCCCTCTTTTTTACTCTCTTTTCCTCTCTTGTCCTCCTGCTCCTTTCCTTGGTTTTCGCTAAGGCTAACGGCATCTTGGGGCTCATTCTATCCCCACTTGTCAGGTGAGGGTGCCTAGATAATTTATTTATGTCAGTGTTTCCTCGCAGCCTCCGCCTCCATCTCCTCCTCCTCCTCCTCCTCCTTCTCGCCTTGCTGTTGCCAGCATTGGCGGCATTAGCTGTGGCTAGCGCCCGGGACTTTTGGTGGTTGCAGCCGCAGTGTGGTTGCCAGAACACATATCAAAACAAATACCAAAACATAAGCCAGAAAACATCTACAGTAAGGCATTCCATACTTGATGGTCAGCACAAAAGGCAGAATACATGCCACAACGCCACAACGCACTTCAAGACAAACGTCGCAAGACTTGTCAGAAGAATGTCAGAATAGGCGAGAGGACGCATGTCAGAACACATGTCAGGAACATCAGGACCACGTAACAGAAAATATGTTGGAACGTATGTCAGAACAAAAGGCGGTCTTGATCGCAGGACAATTTCAGACCAAATGCAAAAAAGCATGCTACATTCCACAAGATGATGTGTCACAGAACACACACCAGAACTGCCAGAACTAATGACTGAATCAGAATCAGAACATGTGTGTCTTTGTGTAACTGCACATGTCAGACAGCATTTGTCAGGCTAGTCTGTCAATATATAAATAAATGTGCCCTGCCGTTTGCCAAATGGCATCGCAGGGTGGGGAAACAATTTTCCCCACTTATCAAGTGTTCGCTGATGTAAGTGCTTTGCAGCTAGTGAAGATCACTCAAAGTAAAGTCAAACCCTTCTGAGTCCCAGTCTGTCAGAGCACGTCAAGGCCGTCAACTTGTCCATTTGTCAGACCGATCAACTCCCATCTTTCTGCGTCGGAAACTCCCATCTGCCGCCACGTGACCCCTTTGAGCTGTTCGTGGCCCACCACCTCCAGCAGTGTCCGCTTTGCCTCCTCAAGCCGAGAAGCGTCCGCAGAGTCCACCACGAACATCACGCCTGCACGAAGCAGATCGGGTAGAAAGATCGAAAGAAGCAAAGGGTGGAGGCCATCGCTTCTAGGATAGAATGCACGTTGAGTAATCGGCCCTACTGAGCCTTATACTTATACTTTATAGTGGGCACACTGACATGAAGTTGTCCATGATCGACAAGTGTGACATCACTCCGGTCCCACAGTTTTGAAACTACCCCTTGTCGACCTTCGTCCTAGTACAAAAGCAATACTACGACGACTTTTGCCAGTTGTGTCAATCTTGCGAGAGTGAGAATTGAGCAGCTCTCCACATCTTCTCGAGCCTTCCCAATCATCTGACCCTGCCTTGGACTTCTGGATAGTAGTTGTGCCAAACAGATCTGAAAGATGCGTGGCCACCCAAATCCCAAAAGACCGCAATGACCTTGTCAATCTGGATCCGCCCAATGTTGAAGCCAATGGTTGGTGGGATCCTGAAAACATGAATCCTTCACGCGGCAGTTTTACGCAAATGCTATGTTTGAGACAAAGGAACCAGTAACAAGGTCCCTTACTAGTAGTAACAAGAAGCTACTAGTTACTAGTAGCGTCTGGCATTACTACTAGGAACAAGAAGCAAAGGTTAGAGACCCATTACAAGAGTCAGTAAGCGAATACAAGATAATCCAAGTAGATTGTGGACATGACTCCCCCCATCCAAAGGCTCGCCTTTCAGGTGGCATTGCTTTCAGCCCGAAGAGGGCCTTCAGCTGCTCCAGCGTCGTAGTCTTTCCGGCATTGTCCACTCCCAACAAGACCATTCGTCGCTCCTCTCATCAAATCAAAGGAGCAGCTTCCTTCAGCTGACCTCTTGAAATCTTGGCTTAGGAGCAAGGACACTACTAGGGGCTCCTGGCCTTCCTACTAATAACAAGAAGCTATTAGCTTATTGTTTCTACTAGCTTCTTGTTACTACTAGTAAGGCACTTGTTACTATTAGCGATGCACTTGTTACTACTAAATATAGGTCTGCATGTCTGTGAGTGTTCGTTCCTTCGTCCCACACTCCTCTTTTTGATGCAGCCATTGCCAGAGGCCGCACAGCAAGCTAAACATCCAGCCTAAGATGCTGTTGGAGCACCACAGGAGACCTCAAAGGCGTCTTTAAAATCTTACAGTAGTCTTTAAGGAAACAAAATATGTTCGATAATGTTGATTGTTGCTCCGGTACCTTTGTAAGCACTATGTTGCTGCAACTTGTCCTCCCAGCTAAGAAGCAATGGTTCACCAGTCATCACCTCAGCTGCTGAAGCCATTCGCCATGGTCGCCGTCTATAACCGAAGCAGCAGATTTGAGCCAAAACACAAGAAGCAAGGGGCACAGCCAGGCGGCACAACTAACTGATACCCAAACATCCAAGCCACTCGGTCAAAGCATCGAAGCAGTCATGCGTCAGTCCTCTGGGAGGTCAGTGCAGTGTACCACATTGTGTACGTTGTCTCTGCCTCAAGCAAGGGACAACGTGGTGGAATCACCAGCAGCCCCTGTGCTCCACACTGCCCGTGCGTACATCAGGCGTGTCAGGTCATGGATGCTCAAGAATTGAGCAGCTACTCCAACTCGTAGTTGCTTGATGTTGTTTGATGATTGCAGACCCTAAAAATCGGGATGGTGCAAGTATCGAAAAATCACCTTCAGCAAATACCTTGCAAGAAAGAACCTTTTCATGCTGGTGAACACCACGAGACCCCTAGTCGTAGCTAACAAGCAGTCCCCGCGGTCCCTGCGCGCCATGACAAGCGCGGATCGTGTTCGGCCGCAGGTGCCTGCTGTGAACAGGGGGCAGCTAAGAAAGAAAGGCACTATCGTCAATCGTCAGGACAAGCAATGTCAATGTCTCAGAAATATACAGGTATCATACTTGCCCAGCTATATAGACAAAACACACCCAAACTGTTGCTTGACGAAATGCCAGTTGGCTTGTTGTGGGAATGCTCTTGAATCACACCTCATGCACTCATGGCTCAACCCCTCAGTTCCCGTACCTCCACCTCCCTTGATAAGGACAGTTGTGACAGATTTTCAATCTACAGAACTCATGGAAGCTTGAACTGCCAACGTCGTCGTGTTTCCAAACTTATGCCTGGCAATCTCAGTGTCGAAGGGTCCACAAAGCTCTCTCAACCTCGCAGGCAAGGCAAACATGTCGGCTCTCTCCTGAACAATCACTCTATCAGGAAATTGTAACAGCCAGAGTGTTTCGTCCGAGGACCGCAGTCAACACATATGCATTAGGACGTGGGTGGGCC